CTGCTCCCTCGTGGATGCACACAGGTAACCTCAGTCTTAAGTAAATATGTTCCTGTGATTCTTCTTAATGATGGTGAAGCCAAAACATGGTTTTTCCAGTAGTGGTGTTGCATGCAGAGACATTTTGCAGGAGATTCATTTTCTGAGCCTCAGTGCTCCCATTTTCAACATGGGGCCAATGATAACCTGCCTTCTAGTACTCTTCCAAGGATCGAATGAGACATGATGTATTGGAAGCAGTTTGTAAGCACTAGAGTAAAATCCAGGTGTAAAATATGAAGGCCCAGGGGGTCCTGAGCAGGATGTATTCAGCTTTAAGTTTGCTGGTTTTATATTTGGTTGAACACAAAGACCAGAGTAGTCTTAGAATGCCCAGCAGAAATTGGGGTGAAGAGTGGTGGCTGAGAGGTGGTGGTCTCATTCTCATTATAAAGGAATAATTTAATTATTAGAATAATGTAGTTATAAAGGAATAATGAGGAGACCGATGATTGTAATATGGATGATTTGCTGAAACACAGCCATTATCCTAATCAAAACAGCGGCTGATATCGGTTGAGGTAAGGGCATCTGTTATCTCATTTAATCTTGAAAACAGCCTGTAAATGTAAGATCTGTTCATCCATCCAGCAGATGCTTGAGTGTCTCCTCGGCGGTGGAGCTGTGAGGGTACAGTGTCCAAGAAGACAGCCCAGGTCTCCAAGCTCCTGGAGCTCACAGGGTTGTGGGGGCCAGGCAGAGCAGAGTTGTGCTTGTGGTGAGCAAACCAGGCCCCGTGTTAGCTGCAGAATGGGATGGGGTTCTCGGAATGCTTTCAGAAAGAGACACGGGCTGAGACTGAAGTAGCGGGTGGGGTGGGAGTGGTGACCTTTGGCAGGAGAACGTCAAAGGTCCTGGACAGTCCTTTGTACATTTCCTGTCCTGAGTGGCCATTTAGGTGGACTGGTTCCTTCCCCAGGTAGAGCATAAAACACCCAGAAGGCAGACTCTGTGAATAGTTCCTTCTGACGCCCCCCACTGCGCCCAGCGTAAATCAGTTCCAGTGTTAATAAAAGTTACTTGGCATGAAGCCGTGCACAAATGGACAGAGAAAAGAGGTGGATGGCATGACACCTTCCCTGTGATGTTTTTGGGATGTTGGTCAACAGCTGTTCATTGAATGTATCTTGTGTGTAAGGCGTCTTCTAGGAGCTTTGAGATGAGATTAAAAAAAAAAAATCCTTACCCTTCAAGAGGTGTGGAATCTGGTCTGCAGAGTGCATGGAATGAACCCGTGAGCTAGAAACAGCCACTAGAGCAGGTTGAGCAAGCCGGGCACCCTGGCTGGGGTACAGCGGGTCCAGAGTGCCACTGCCCCCATGGACTTGCCGCCTCGCTCAGGGTAGCCAGTCCACAGATGGGGGGGTGGGCAGCCGAGGGGCGCGTGCAATGGAGATGACAGCTGGTGGAGGGGGAGTTGCTGAGGGCTCCTTCTCTCTGGTGGTCTTGGGCGAACACTCGGGATTTGGGTGAGCAGTTTGCTCTGCGTGAGTCCTTCTGTCCTCACACTCTGCCTCTCTCCTCACGTGATACTTGTTCCCAGTTGAAGAACTGAACAGCTCAGAGCCCTGCTGGCTGCGTGTGGCTCTCTGCCCAGGTCATAGGTAACCACGCTTGCCCCACCCCGGCTGGGTCCACCGCATCCGGCTGGGATTTGCAGGCGTCACTTCATGAATTGATGTTGTTCAATCGCTCAGTCGTGTCCGACTCTGCGACCCCATGGACCACGGCACGCCAGCCTGCTCTGTCCTCACTCTCTCCCAGAGCGTGCTCGCACTCACGTCCGTTGAGTCGGCGATGCCATCCAACCATCTCTTCCTCTGTCGCCCTCTGTCTTCCTGACCCCGGGATTGAACCCCAGGCTCCTGCATTGCAGGCAGATTCTTCACTGTCTGAGCCGCCAGGGAGCCCAGCATCATGACTCGTGACCTGTATTTTTTCAGGCTTTACCTCTTCAACGTCTCCCACTCCAGTTCCTCCCACTGGATTATCATAGCTTCTTTAGTGTCCTGCTGGCTATGTGAAAAACAGGAATTTATGTAACCAGCCCTGCAGAGCAAACCTTTTCCTGTTTGGGGAAAAATTTTTTTTAATTGTTGGTAAAGTTAGGAGACAGCCCTCTTACTCAAAGAGTGACCTGAAATGTCCTCTTAGGAAAATATGTAGCATAATGTTTTGATAAGTAAGGGGTTGCTTACACCCCATGTGCACCCCCGCGCCGCCTCCCCCCACCCCCGTTTTTGGTAAGTCTGAGTAGTAAGCCAGTGTGTGTCCTGTCCAGGCTAGTGAATACTTCCTGACCTTTTTTTTTCCCTTCTTCCTAAACTTTTTAAAGATTCCATCTTTAAACAGCTTCTGCAGTCTTGTTTGAAGTGTCCCCCAGTTGCAGTTACAAATGATCTGACCTAGTTATATGTATCATAGAGCTGTGGCCCCCCCCACCCCCGCCCCCCAGGCTGTACAGACAGCCAGGAAGCCACTATCTAGGAAGATCTTCCCCCTTCATCATTAACCAAATGTGACAGGGACAGGAGTCAAGCTTCCTTTCCTCCAGAGATTCCATCGTAGCTTATCTGTGTTTCTATTGTGTTTAAAGAACAAGATAATCATGATGGAATATTGTGCAAAATGCCCAGACTTCCAGCCTGTACAGGCTCCGTTCCAGGTTGGCCCCAGGAGCAGGCCTGCTTCTTTGAGGAGGGATGTAGAGGTTGGGGGGCCCTGTTGTGTGTGTGTAGAGGTTGGGGGCCATGCTGGAGTGCACACACGTGTGTGTAGGTTGGTGGGCCAGCAGGAAAGCACTGTGTGTGTGTGTGTGTGTGTGTGTGTGTGTGTGTGTGTGTGTGATTCAGTGAAACCTTCCCTGTGTGTGTGTGTGTGTGATTCAGTGAAACCTTCCCTGTAGGGTTTGGAGAATCTGACGGGGTTGGAACAGGATATTGGGGAGATGCAGCTCCCGGCCTCTTTCAGGGCTCCAATCTGGATTTGGGGACAGGTCTGTAGGTGGGAAGAAAGAGGACAGAGTCTTGGGAACAGAAGAATCCCTTCCCCGCCACCCACGTACACGCCTGCCCAGCTTCCAGCCTGGAAGCCCCCTTCCAGGGCCGTGGCCGACCCCACTCGCCCGGGCCTGGCCGAGGAGCTGTCCCAGGGCTGCTGTGTTGCAATCCTCGCGTGGAATGTAGGACAGAGGGTCAGAGGGCATTTGGAAATGTAGATTTCTCAGCCTTGACTGTCCAGCCTCATTCTGACTTTGGCATCTCCTTTTTGAAAGGGAGATTTTTTTTCTCTTTTTCTTTGTTTGTTTTCTGCCTCCTCTAAACGAGAGAGATGGCGAGCTCATGGTTTGTGTGGCGCCCCGGCTGGTCCTGCCGTGCAGAGGCTCTCTTCTGGCGCAGCGACTGGCACTCAAGCATCTGAGTCCCACGGCGATGAGGATGTGGGCGCTGTGGCTGCATCTCTGGGTGACCACAGATCCAGCCAGAGCTGCTTCGTGGTCGGGGAGAAGGGGCCGCAGGGGTCCCGGGGGCTCGCCCAGCCGAGCCGGGCATCCACTTGGCAGAGGAAGCCAGAGAGGTGTGGGGACCACGCTCTCAGTCCTGCTCCGGGAGTCTAGGACGCCCGGAACCTGCTCCGGGCCCTGATGACGAAGCGCACTGAGTGCACAGAGAGAGAGAGGCTGCCGCGTGCCTGTCCTGTGCTGGGGCCGAGCCAGCCGGGATGCTCCCTGCTTCCCAGGAGCCCCCCTTGTCCACAGCAGGCTCTCCAGGTGCCAGCAGCCTCACGCTTCCCCCAGGACAGGGGTCACGCTTGGGCTTCCTCCCTTCCAGCCCGGCCCCACCGCTTCTGCTGGCACTTGCGCCGTCTTTGGCTCCTGTCACGGGGTGTTCGGAGTTGCGGGTTTGTGTTTGTAATACCACTAAGCTCCTACCCACACCCCAGTGACTAGGAGGAGGGGAATGGGCTCAGAAAGGGTGAAGCCTTGTGTCCTCCTGCCAAAGTGGGATCTGACAGCTTCTTTCCAGCAACCACTTACCATGTTGGACACATGGCTGAACGCCTGGCATCCCTTGTGTCGTTGAACCCATGGAGCCAGCCGCAAAGGGGGCTTTAAAGCATGCAGGGGCCAGGCAGCCTCCCAGGGTTTGTAGCCAGTGAGTAGCAGAGCTACCCAGGGACTCAAAGTTGGCTTTCTGTCCTAACCATCCTGGGGGGGTATATGTCACGATTTAGTCATGGAGCCGTACTCAGTGGATCAAAGCCACCAGCTCTCTGCCCTTTGCACCAACTCCTTCCCTCCCAGGGCAGCATTTTGGCTCGAGTAGAAGCGGGGAAGAGAGGGTCGTGAACAACACTTAAATGAATTTAAGTTGTTTTTTTTTTTCTTGGTAGTTCAGTTTTCTAAAATTAAAACCACCACCACCACCTCGTTTTCCTTCTATTCACCTGTATCTGCCTAATGGACTTTAAGAATGTAAATGAATCCAGGTCTTAACTAGTTTTCGGCTGAGAATATAATCTGCTTCCTTTCTTTCTTGTTGGTGATCACGTGGACCCCATAATACAAAACTTCTCGCTTGGTGTTAAGTGGCGCATGCACTGTCCGCAGAGAACTTGCAGTAGTTCTGGGGGATGATTGGACAGATAGAGGTTTTGATTGCGCTCTGTTCTGGAGTGGTATTTGCATTGCAAATTTCCCTGGACAATAGAGCTATGTAAAAGAAAGTGTTGATAATAATGCCTGTTTAGTTCTGTCCCCTTGTTAAATTAAAATACAGATAACTGTTTTTAAGATACAGTACCACTTTACTCATTGGAGCAGTCTTGTAGTGATGGTACAGATCTGTACCATAAACTTTGAAAATATGACCTGTCTTCCGCGTGAGACATGTCTATGTGGAACAGTGGGTCTTCTAGCCGGAGCAGTATTTGTATTTCTGACATGGTGTTTTGCTTTACAGAATTCAATTCGTCATAATCTGTCCCTGCACAGCAAGTTCATCCGTGTGCAGAATGAAGGAACTGGAAAAAGCTCCTGGTGGATGCTCAATCCAGAGGGAGGCAAGAGTGGGAAGTCCCCCAGGAGAAGAGCCGCGTCGATGGACAACAACAGCAAATTTGCTAAGAGCCGAGGCCGAGCTGCCAAGAAAAAAGCGTCCCTGCAGTCTGGCCAGGAGGGTGCCGGGGACAGCCCGGGGTCACAGTTTCCCAAGTGGCCCGCAAGCCCCGGCTCTCACAGCAACGACGACTTCGACAGCTGGAGTACCTTTCGCCCTCGCACCAGCTCGAATGCTAGTACCATTAGCGGGAGGCTGTCTCCCATCATGACCGATCAGGACGACCTGGGAGACGGGGATGTGCACTCGATGGTGTACCCGCCGTCCGCCGCAAAGATGGCTTCTACCCTGCCCAGTCTGTCCGAGATCAGTAACCCCGAGAACATGGAGAACCTTTTGGATAATCTCAACCTTCTCTCGTCACCAACGTCATTAACTGTGTCCACCCAGTCTTCAGCAGGCACCATGATGCAGCAGACACCCTGCTACTCCTTTGCGCCGCCAAACACCAGTTTGAATTCAGCCAGCCCCAACTACCAAAAATACACGTATGGCCAGTCCAGCATGAGCCCCCTGCCCCAGATGCCCATGCAGACGCTGCAGGACAGCAAGTCGAGTTACGGAGGCATGAGCCAGTACTGTGCGCCGGGACTCCTGAAGGAGCTGCTGACGTCCGACTCTCCTCCGCACAACGACATCATGACGCCAGTCGATCCGGGGGTGGCTCAAACCAACAGCCGAGTGCTCGGCCAGAACGTGTTGATGGGCCCTAACTCGGTCATGCCGGCCTACGGCGGCCAGGCCTCTCACAACAAAATGATGACCCCCAGCTCCCACACCCACCCTGGACACGCTCAGTCGACATCTGCAGTCAACGGGCGTGCCTTGCCCCACGCGGTAAACCCCATGCCCCACACCTCGGGTATGAACCGCCTGGCCCCGGTGAAGACAGCTTTACAAGTGCCTCTGGCCCACCCCATGCAGATGAACGCCCTGGGGGGCTATTCCTCAGTGAGCAGCTGCAACGGCTACGGCCGGGTGGGCGTTCTCCACCAGGAGAAGCTCCCCAGTGACTTGGACGGCATGTTTATCGAGCGCTTGGACTGTGACATGGAGTCCATCATTCGGAACGACCTCATGGACGGAGACACGTTGGATTTTAACTTTGACAACGTGTTGCCCAACCAAAGCTTCCCGCACAGCGTCAAGACGACAACACACAGCTGGGTGTCAGGCTGAGAGTGGGCAAGCGAGTGAGCAGGTAAGAGCACCCTGATACCAAAAGGCCTGAAAACGGGACTTAAAGAGAGGAGCCCAATAACTTGCCTTGTATTTTCCAGGGTCGGGACTTTCTCATTTTTATGTCAGCCAGCCACCCCTTGTGGAGAGGCATCTTTTATCATTCATTCTCTGCCCTTTTTGCAGCTTATAAATTCTCCTCTGAGCTGAAACATAAGGAAGCTTCCTCTAATGGCTTTAAAGAGTTTCTTTTGACAGACGGCTGCATCTTAGCAACTCTTCAATAAATGAATACATTTGATACAAATCAAATGCTGAAGGGGTTTTTAAAGTGGAATTTTCTCCCATTGAATGATTTCAGAGCTGTTTGAGAAAGCCCAACCCTCCCCCAAGTATGTCTGTCACCCTAATATGTTAAGTTGAATTGATATTCATTTGGTTGTTTTCAATGCTTGTGTGTGTGTATGTGTTTTTTTCTAGGCTACACTTAAAAGTACTTCAGATTGTCTGACAGCAGGAACTGAGAGAAGCAGTCCAAAGATGTCCTTCACCCTACCTTTTCGTTTTCTTGATTAAAAAAAAAAAAACCAACAAAACGCATTTCTTTTTTCCTTTCGTCAGACTTGGCAGCGAAGACACTTTTCCTGTACAGGATGTTTGCCCAATGTTTGCAGGTTATGTGCTGCTGTAGATAAGGACTGTGCCATTGGAAATTTCATTACAATGAAGTGCCAAACTCACTACACCATATAATTGCAGAAAAGACTTTTGGATCGTGGTGTGCTTTCAACTTTTGTACATAAGCCGTAGCTACAGGATTGTATCTGTGTGCATTTTTTTTTTAATATTCATTTGGTCCAAGGAAAGTTTATACTCTTTTTGTAATACTGTGATGGTCTCATGCCCTTGGTAAGTTAAACTTTGGTTTTGTGCTACCCGTGTTCTGCTGAACTGATGAATCACAGAGAACCAAGCTGTCCGTTCTACAGCGCCACTGACCAGCTCGGCATCTGTTCACGGCACCGCATAATTCACAGGAGAACCAGTAGCCTGTTGTCCATCTGCTGAATTAATGGACTTATCAAAACTCTTTTGGGGGGAAAAAAAAAGATTAAACTCCAGCCTTGTACAGGTCTTTTCTATTTTTTTTCTTCTTCGTTTGTTTATTTTGTTATTTGCAAATTTGTACAAACACTTTAAATGGTTCTAATTTCCATATAAATGATTTTTGATGTTACTGTTGGGACTTGAGATCATTTTTGGAATAGATACTGAACTGTAATGTTTTCTTAAAACTCAAATCTACCTTTGTTACATAGTCTGCTTGGAAATTTGTGGAATCCCAGACATTTGAAGCAGCATCCGTGATTTTCCTTTTGTATTTCTAACTGGACTAGTACTAATTTTATACATGCTTCACTGGTTTGTATACTTGGGGATGCTCCTTGGTGATGTTTTCTGACTAATCTTAAAATCTTTGTAATTAGTACTTGCACACCTACCATTTCTGGCCCTACCTTGGCAGGAGAGTGATGTATAGTTATGGACATTTTGTGTTTCACGTTGAGAACTTGATTTGTTTTTGTGTATGTGTTTTACAGAAATCCCATCTGCTTCTGCTGTCCTTGTGAACTAGGCATCCCTGCCCAGCATTGAATCTTCTGATCAGTGCCTGTATGCGCTTTGTTTCAAGTACTCCTGGGGGGAGGCTTCGTAGTGTTTGGAGATCAGAAGGGGAGACCCACCTCCAAAACAGTGCTCCTTTCTCAAGCTGGGATTTTGATCAACTTAACCTTTTTGAGTTGAACTTCAGCAAAAGTTTTCCCTCGTAACACTGTGCTCTTCCTGGTCTAGGCAGAAGTTGGCTTTGTACTTCTGGAGAATTATATCCCCTTCTGTCCTACATATTACTTGGTGCACTGTGGAAAGTGATGTCGAAGGGGGGAATTTTTAAATGGGACTTGAGTGATTTTTAAAGTGCTTGGTGTTCATGAGTGCAGATGGTTACCAAACAGAATAGCACTTGCTTAAAAATTCAGGCACTAAATTTGAAAACCGACAAGCCAGCAGTAATTTATACCTTTGGATCTATTTAGAAAGCCATTGTGTAAGTTAAGAATTGGAGAGTTTCTTTCCCCTTTAGCAACCCAAACTATAATTCTGATCATCATGTTGTAATATTTTCCAGTTACCTGTAACTGATTAGACCCAAGTTAATTGGCTTTGCATCCCATTTAGTCCATCAGTGTTTTCAAGTCGTGCGGAATGCCCAGAGTCAGCTCGATGAAAGGAACAGGTGCACAAAAGTGTTCCTCTGGCCTTCTTGAGAACGCTCTGACTTCTGTGAACCTAGCCCACATGACGCTTGCTTTGTGTTGCCCAAGAATTGCGTCTCTGCTGGCTTGGGTTTTCCTCCATGTTTAACAAGAACACAAGTGTTCTGGATGGATTTCCTCCAGGAGGCAGGCTCTATTGTATGCTTCCCACAGTGACTTATACACTTTTGAAAATTCATTAAACAGCCACCCCTCTAACCATCTTCATTGTTGGCCACTCCAAAATAGGTCTGGTTTCAGAAACCATGGTTCCTCTGACCGGTGCCCCCTGCACATGCGCGTGGACTCATTGGGGCCACAGTTCTCGTGTTCCCCTCTGTGACCACCACTTCCTGCCCCCTGACCAGCACACTCTGAGCCTCATCAGGCCCATCGTTCACTGAAGAGGCAACTAGCTACAAAAAAAAAAAAATCACTGTTCAAATCTTACTACTTCATAGAGTGACTTTTAAAAAGATGTTGCTTCCTCTTGAGTCTATGTAAATATCTTTTTTTTTCCCTTCAAATTTTTGTGTGTGTGTGTGTGTGTTGAAATTCTTAACAGGAATCCTGGGTAGCTCTCCAGGGTACAGTGAAGTTCAGTGAAAGGCACCTTGTCAGTTTTGAAAACAAACATTATGTGACCTCTGGTAATTCTTTTTCTGTACGAATACTGACTTTCTGGAGTAATGAGTATATCAGTTATTGTACATGATTGCTTTGTGAAATGTGCAAATGATATCACCTATGCAGCCTTGTTTGATTTATTTCCTCTGGTTTGTACTGTTATTAAAAGCATATTGTATTATAGAGCTATTCAGATATTTTAAATATAAAGTATTGTTTCCGTAATATAGACGTATGGAGTATATTTAGGTGATAGATGTGTTACTTGGAAAGGTCTTCTTCGAAAAACTGACTAAAGTCTAAATTAAAATCCCAGTGAGCAGTAAATCAATGGAACGTCCCAAGAAGGAGGAGAAAGACACTCAAAATGGAAACAGTTCCCCCGAAGTATATGATTTGGACTTAATTCAGCTGCTGGATATGTCTTACCAGTCTCCCCACCCCACCCCTCTCCCCAGCTGAATGATTACCAAGTAATCGTTCAGTAAAAGATGCAGTGTGGTTTATGCAGACAAAACAGCCTAGCATTACTCTTGGCCTCCTCCCTGAGGGGGGTGACGGCCTGGCAGCCTGGCCAGGCCTGGCCACGTTCATCCTATCTGGACGCAGACAGACTCACCCAGCCTTGGCCAGCCGAGTTTAGTACCCGTGCAGATCCTACGTTCCCGCTCCAATACAATGAAAAGTGCCTGATGATGCTGATGTACTTACAGACACAAGAACAATCTTTGCTATTATTGTATAAAGCCATAAATGTACATAAATCATGTTTAAATGGTTTGGTGTCGTTCTTTTTTAGTTGTGCAGAGTAAGCTCTTTATTAGGTGGTTCCCCGCCCCCCCCTTCGTGTTTAGCTGTCACATGAGTTAAAACCTTGGCAGCCACAGTGCCATGGTTTATTCAAATCTGGTATTTCTTTGGCGAGGTGGGGGGTGGGGGGTGGAAACATTCTCCCTGGGACCAAACTCTAGTCCCCGAGGGTTGGAGAGCAAGTTGGGGCCGTGATAACAAACCACCCTGGAGCACTTCGTCTGTCTGTGTCTGACAGGGCATCAGCACAGAAATGACTAGGTGTAGGAGAGCTCGTGCTGATGTAGGCAGAGCTGAAGGTAACAATACCTGGAGGTCAGGTGGGGAGGGCCCTGGCTGGGAAGTCACCGAGCGGGGATGGGTGGTGTGGTGGGAACATTGGCTTCCCAAGGCCACATGAAGCGGGGGCGCGGGTTAGTTCTTCCATTCGGTGGCTGTAGATTGGAGGTTTCCATGTTTGCTTTTCTTCAGCAAACGCTTGAGGAATGAACTAGGATTAGACTGTGTGCGCGCTCGTGTGAGTTCAGTCCTGTCTGGCTCTGTGACCCTGTGGACTGTAGCTCACCAGGTTGCTCTGTTCATGGCATTTGCCTTGCCCTCCTCCAAGGATCTTCCCGACCCAGAGATTGAAGCTGTGTTGTCTCCTGCATCTCTTGCACTGCAGGAGGATTTTTTTACCACTGAGCCATCCAGGATTAGGTTAATAATGGTTAAAATGCATCTTACAACCAGAATTAAGTCCCGGCTTTCCATGCTTCTGCTTTTACCCAGGCAAAGGGACTGTCTGCATGAGTTGGTGTAGGGAAAAGGAGAGGGGTCATTCTAGGGTTTATCTATGTGGACCCTGGAAGATCAGTCCAGCTTTCAGGGGTTTTTTTCTTCTTCTTCCTTCCTCCCTCCCTCCCTCCCTCCCTCCCACTCAGCTTTGGAACCCTTGCTTTAAAATAACGATAGTCAGAAGCCCAGAGTGCAGAACAGATAACCCCATCTGCTCCCAGACCTGGAGCTCGTGCACACATCATTTTGAAAACCACTCATCTCATCCAATGGAAAAGGGAATGGCAACTCCAGGATTTTTGCCTGGAGAATTCTACGGACAGAGGAGCCTGGCCAGCTACAGTCCATGGGATCGCAAAGAGTCGGACACAACTGAGCAGCTAGCACAGCACAACCATCTAGTCCAAATGGACTAGAAAATGCCAAAGAAAATTCCTTGACTGCTCTGCCAGAACATACCAACAGGCTCCT